GCAAGTATTGCAAGTATTTCCCCTACAGACCACCAGGGCGGCAGAGAAAACCTTTGTTCGACCTGAAATGACTCATTTAATCATCCAAAACGTTATGGAACACATTAATTAACTGAAAAATGTTGCATAGTGTGCCTTTAAGAATTCCTACATTTACATTTCACTGTGAAATATTTTCTATGTACTCTACTTTCTATTTTCTAACGTTAGACCCAATGTCAATGGCTAACTCAGTCAATGTCTCAATGTTACGTTACATACGATACTAAAGGATCCATCGGCGTATAGATGGATTATTGGTTAGTTCATCCACTGACTGGGAAATTACCTGTGGAACGTCTTCCTACAGCCGGCAACCATTCTCTATTGGGTTTAGGTCTGGAGAGTGGCTAGGCCACACCAGATCTGCTTCTTCCAGAGCCGCTCCTTGGTTATCCTGGCTGTGTGCTTTGGCTCATTGTCATGCTGGAAGACCCAGCCACCTCCTTCTATAATGCTCTGAGGGAAGGAGGTTGTTCCCCAAAATATGGCAATACATGGTCCCGGTATCCTCTCCTTAATACTCGCCCCGTCCAATATGCAGAAAAACACCCCAAAGCATGATGCTACCACCCCCATGCTTCACAGTAGGGATGGTGTTCAGGGGATGGTACTCATCATTCTGCTTTCTCCAAACACGGTTAGTGGAATTATGACCAAAATGTTCTATTCTGACCACATGACTTTCTCCCATGAGTCCTCTGGATCATCCAGATGGTCATTGGCAAAATGAAGACGGGCCTTGGCATGTGCTGCTTTAAGCAGGAGAACCTTCCATTACATCTTAGTGCAGGGGTGTCCAACTCCTCAAGGTTTACTGTCCTGCAGATTTTAGATGCATGCCTGCACCAACAGCCGATTCAAGACACTGAATTACCTCTTCAGCATGCCATCAGGTTTGGCAAAGGCCATGGCAACAAGCCTTGCATTTAATTCAGCTGTGTTGGAGCAGGGATGTATCTGAAATATACAGGACAGTAGATCTCAAAGACCAGGGTTGGAGACCCCCGTCTTACTCTAATACCAACAGTAACCATAGAAACGGTGGTCACAGCTCTTTTCAGGTCACTGACCAGCTCCTCCCTTGTAGTTCTGGGCTGATTTCTCACCTTTCTTAGGATCCCTGAGACCCCACCAGGTGAGATCTTGGATGGAGCCCCAGTCTGAGGAAGATTGACAGTCATGTTTAGCTTCTTCCATTTTCGAATAATTGCTCCAACAGTGGACATTTTTTCACCAAGCTGCTTGGTAATTTCCCCGTAGCCCTTTCCAGCGTTGTGGACGTCTAAAATTTAGTCTCTAGTGTCTTTGGTCTTGGTCATGTTAGTAGTTGGATTCTTGTCTTTATGGAGCTAATGACCTCAAACAGGTGCATCTAATTTAGGATGATAAATGGAGTGGAGGTGGACATTTTGAAGGCAAACTAGCAGGTCTTTGAGGGTCAGAATTATGGCTGATGGGTGTTCAAACACTTATTTGCAGCTTTATCATACAAATATTTATTTTTTTTGAACGGACAGGATGGTGGGGCGGGGTTCGGTGGTGTCGGCCCTGGTGGCCGGCTGGCTCATGGGTCCCGCCGCCTGTCCCTGGCGCCCAGGCTATGGTGGTGCGACTGGTGGAGCCCCCCTCTCCGGTGGGGCTCTCGGGGAACGGGGGTGCCTATTGAAGTCAGCGGGGGAGCTGGCTCCCTGGGAGTGCAGTAAGCACCCCAGTCCTTTGCTCCCCATCCACAGAATACTCCCTCTGCCTGTGCCTGTGGGTGGCATGTGGGCCCCGATCGCGGGGGAGCTTTTGCTGGGGGTGGTCTGGTCCGGGTGCGGGGCTCAGTGCTCTATTGAGCATTTTTCCTTTGGATAAACTTTACATCTACAAGTGCACCCTCACAAACAACTACAGGTGCTTGACCCTAGGTACTCAGAGATTCACTTCTATACTTTCACTTTGCTGCTCCTGCTGCATCAAAAATGTAGCAGCAGACGAGTTTTTGCTGCTCCTGCTGCTTTTGGTGTAAACGTAGCATTAGTAACAGTCAGAGAAACAGGACTATACTAAAAAACAGGTCAACCAACATCCAGAGATTAACGAAAATTTTCCAAAGTGACATCAGACACTACAGCCATTCAAAATTTTCCCACTTTCCTTGATGGGCCTTTGGCTGGTTCCCTACAATATCTTTTAAACATCAATCTTTGTACTAAAATATTCTTTCTGTCATGATTTGTGGACATTAAAGAGGAGCGTCATCTCCTGGTCAGACCCTGTAATTCAGAGAGGGGGTCACTGCAGTGGCTGGAGGTTGG